AACATGTTAAATGATGCCATGACATGCATCTATCACAAGTATGGCATTCAAGATACATCAAAACACAAGGCTAGTCAAGCCTATTGCACTGCAACTATGCAATACATGAACCATATGGCCATGACAACCCAAAACAATCCTAGAGTATGTCAAAATGATGATAAAACATGTATGGAGTATAGCCAAAACAATCTAGCATGAAGGCATGAAGCATGGAGCATGCTAGGCCAACAAAGAGGATTACACTACATCTACCAACACCAAGCATGAGATGACTTTACCAACAAAAATCAGAGTTGTATCATGGAAAATAAGACCAAAAACCCACTGAGATGGCATCCCAAAATCTTAGGCAAGATGGCATACATATTGGCTCATATTTAAGGCATAAAGCACAACCTTCCAAAAGAATTGCAAGAGTGACACATGTGCGTGTATAACAATGAAACATGCTCTGAAATCATGAAGCAAATTATGCTAAATCATGTGAATAGCCCAAGCAATGCATGCTAGTGGACTCAAAACACAAAGCCAGTGAGCAAGATTGCACTATGGCTATACAAAGCAAGCCATGCATGACCAAAACAACCTAAAATAGAGCTTAAGCATGGAAAATCATGAGTAGAAGCTTGCTGGAGTGGAGCCAAAATCATGCTAGAATGATAGTCCAAAGCATGATGCATGTTAGGTTAGATTGCAAGATTACACTACAAGTGTAGAATGGATGCATGAGGTAACTAAACCAAGCCAAAATAGAGGTATTCCATGCTGAAATAAGGCCTAAGACATGCTAAGATGATACCAAAACAAGCTTAACAAACATGTTACTTTGATGAGCCAACAAGGCAAGCAACCAAGACACAAGGAGAGGGGATGACCCCCTCCTATTTGAGACCTCAAAACACACTTTCCACCACTGAAATTCCTCTGAGTTTCAATGGTGAGAAGGCCAGAAAGAGGTGGTCCCAATAGCTTAAAAGGATAGCACAAAACAAATCCAAACAAGGCACAAGAGGGGATAGATCACCCCTAACACCAAAGAAGCCTTAAACAAACATTTCAAACACTTGAAAATAAAGCTTTTTGTAGTAGAAAGTTAAGCCTGAAACAACATGCAAATAGGGCCAAAGACTTAAACAAAATAAAGCTTTAAAAGGATTAGAGCCTTACCCTTGAAGACCAAGAACAAAGTAACAACTTCAGCAGCTTTTCTGAGCTAAAAACCAACTCTTGAGTTCAAACAAGACCCTCAGGTACCTCAGCAACAAGAGTGTGGTGCTTCACTAGGTGTTTGTGTGCAAAAGAGTGAAGAAACTACACTTTCAAGCACAAATATGGGGCAAAGGAAGAAATATAGAGATAGAGATGTATCTATAGCTCCAATGCAAAATTCTCAACCTAAGACAAGAGGGAGGAGGCTCCCTTTTATAGAAAACCATGCATCAAGCTTGTTTAACAAGCTTGAAGCTTGAAGCCATCCCTTCATACACGTGTATGGCGGATGCTTTCTGTCACGACCCAAACCCGCCCCCATGGGTTAAGGACATGACCGGCCAGTTATCCTGAGATTACCTACGACCTCAAATCACACCAGACATAACTCAGCAGAGTAAAGGGGCCAAACGGAAGCAAAATTTAAAACTTTATCCATAGAGTTGTGTTTACATGGCACATCATTACAAACCATACATACACGTATTAATAACTCACATCAAAATATGTACGAATACGAAGTTCTATACATACAGGATCTATCAAGTCTAGGTAAGCCAATCAAGGCCATATACATATACAACATAAACCAAAGTCCTCGCCAACATGACAAAATAAAATAAGATAGCAAAAGGTCGAAGGCGAGTCTCATGCATAAGACGTAGGGCTGACTCTTCAAAACCTCGGTTGTTCCACACAGACTTCACTGAGGCTGGGTTTGGACCTCCCTTGGCTCCCCTACAAACACATGAATGAGCGTGAGCGAAAGCCCAGTGAATAATATCAAATAAAGAAGTTACACAACGGTATTTAGAACAACATACTTCAAACGGCCTTGGGCCCAATTCGTATTTCTATCTAGCTTATATATAAATATAGGTCAAGTGACTGTGGTTCCAAACACATCATACGGCTTCGGGCCCAATTCATTCGTATCATTTATGTCAAACGGCCTCTGGCCCATTCGTTCAAGTCATACGGCCTCTGGCCCATTCATTCATGTCATACTGCCTCTAGCCCTTCCGTTCTTCCATTCATGTCAAACTGGCCTTTGGCCCATTCATTTTATCATTCATGTCATACTGGCCTTTGGCCCATTCATTCTATCATTCGTGTCGAACTGGCCTTTGGCCCATTCTTTTGGCATAGCAAACATTCGTCCACCATTCAAATTTAGGCACTTATAACGCTTACACAGAATTAAGCAATTGGACAAACAACATATTTTAAATATCTTTATTAAGATATTACTCACAGTGATCGG